ATTTTTTGTATAGCAGTTTATTTAATCAATATGTAAATAATACAGATTATATTTGGTTGCTATGTCTTAAGACTATTAATTTAAAACTTATTTATCCTCTTTTATTCCTTTCTATCAATCAATTGGAAAAACAAGTCATTTGTTCTGAGCATCTCCTTGTCTGGTTTTTCTGCATTCTCTTCATGTCATTGAACATGCTTCTCTGTCTCTGCATTATCTGAACTCCAATAATTAGAGGTAGAAGTGCACAGTGTAATCCCATCCTTCACTCCCTTGCTCACCCACTGGTTGCCTCCCATACCTTCTCTCAAGAATATCTCATGAGCCGTGTTCAGTCTTCCATCATGGAGTACATAATCCGGTTGCTTCTCTTTCTGTGGCCATTGATATTCATTTCCTGGATCCAATATTATAGCAGAGATTTGCAAAATGGTATTTTTATAATTGCATCAATCCTAATTAACCAGAATATACACATGCTCAGAGAAATTTTCCATGATCAATGGTTTAGTCACTCTCTACTATATTTCTTTCAGAAAAGTCAATTTATTTCCTTTTGTCTTTTTCAAAATATAACTGCTATATTTTCCCAAGATAATCATTGATTATTTTTCAGTATGACTATGAACCCATGAATTTTAGCCTGATAGATATACCACAATAATTTTTGCAACATGTTGCAAAAAATATTATTAGTATTCTTACTAATACTAGAATAGCACATTTTGGAGTACAATCTTTCCAAATAAAATATACTGAGAATGTTCTCTATAGCCTTTTAGTTGTTTGGGAAAGTTTGCTTTCTTTGTGGTCGGGTCTCATAAGGTGTTCAGGCAATCCTTGTATATTTTCTGTTTCAAGTTCTTAAAAGAGACCTGGTTCCCTTTTAACAAAGTGTATTAAGGGTCTATACTTTTGTGGAACTAGAAGGTTCATAATACTGGATTGTACTTGTTCTAGACCTTTTGAAAGTGACCTTTTGACTTTTTTTTTTTTTTTTTTGAGACAAGGTCTCCTTATGTAAACCAGGCTGGCCTAGAGCTCAGAGAAATTCACCTGCCTCTGCCCCCCAAGTACTGAGCACTGGAATTAAAAGCATGTGCCACCATGCCTGGCAAGTAAATATTTTAAGAGGAAGTATATCATGAACTCTCATTTGGGTTTTCAATTGAGATTTAAGATTGCACAGTTTTATATTTGTACTGTTTTATTATATGCTGAGAATCTTAATTTCCATGGTTGTTGGCATTACTACTAATTTTCATTGACATTTAACATGTACATTTATATACACTAATATTGATAATAACAATGTGATTAATGAAAACAGGTTAAAATTTAGTTTATCTTTACATTTTGCTTTTGTGGTTTTTATGAATATAGACTACCAAATTACTATGGTTTAAAATCACTTGAAATATTTTTTCTCCCCTAAGAAATTATTTCAATTTGGAATTAGATATGTTTGTTTCATTTTGATTGAAAAAACTTAGGGAATTTTATTTAATTGAATTTCCTTATGAGTAATGTGGTACTTTTACATGGTCTTGAAGTTAAAACTAGAAAATGTATTCAAGAAAAATATTTTTCTTTCCTGTCACCTTTACTCATTTATTTTGCCTTATGTCTCTATGAAGGAAACAGTGTCTTTGCCTGTATGTCCATGTCCTCACTTAAAGGAATGCTGGCCAACCCTGTACACTTTTCTCTGTTTTCTTTTTTTCACTTAAACTAAATCCTAGAGATCATTCCATTGCATTAGAAAAAGATGTATCTCAATATTTTACCACTGCATATGTTTGTATCGTATGGTTTTGCCACATAATATTCCATTAGTATTGTCTTGGTGAACACATTGGGGACCTTACAGGGTTTTTGATTTTAAAAAAGTGTTGCATGAATGTGGTCAATATATTTATATCAGTAGCATAAATGTTTAGAAATTTAATTGTCATGAAAAATTGAAGTACAGCTTAAAATTTACAGGATTTTGCCAAATTTTTCTCCAGAGCAGCTGTATAATTCTGTAAGGTACTTTCTAATTATGTAATGAAGGACTGTGCAATTTATTTAGGTGGGCATTGTCCTGGGCATTGTACATAGGGTTTTGACCTTAAGTATGTACTCTATTACTGAGCTACACTCCATGCTCCTGTACACACTTAGATCAAGTATAAAAGGGTTTAATTATCCAAAATGTGTGTTGTATTTTTAAAAAATAATTTATTGAGACTTTCATACATGCGTATAAGGTGTTTTAATCAAATCCATGTCCACTCCCCCCCCTCCGACTCCTCCTATATCTCCCCATCACTTTTTTCTGATAACTTCATGTACTCTTTCTTCTTTTATTTTTTTACAGGGCTATTGTATTTTTACTAAAACTGCTCTTCTTGTAGATAGCTACACATTTAATAACTCTATCTTGTTGGGAGCTCTTTCACCACATAGTATTTGCAAAATCTACTCTGTTATGATTGTATAATGTAAGTTTACAAATATTCAAACACATTTATTAACTATTATTATGTAGGAAGTACATTTTGTTTCCGTAGGATTTGCCTTTTCAGAAAACTCGACAGTAGAAGTTATAAATCTGTTTTTTGTATGTACCGCATAGTAAACATTAACACTTTTATGTCATAAGCTATAACCTATAAATATATTATGAAACTATCTTCTCAGAAAGTCATTAACTCTTAGACTAGAGAATAAAAAAAAATTAAATGTCCTCTTAAATGCTGAAATTTGCTTTTTAAGAGTGTCTTAAGATGGTAGACAGACTTTTCTGCCTTAAAGTTGAGTAATTTGTAATGACAAAACCCAAAGTAATAGTCTTCTATCTTCCTTAAACCACTAAACCTATATCTACTTTTCTTTACTGATATAATGGGAGGAGAATTAATTTTAAAAGGTAGTGGCTATTGATTACTTAATGGAAGAATAAAGTGTGGAGAAATGCTGAAGCGAATCTATTCTGTGCCCTCCTGCAAAACAGGGCCCATTATCCAGTGGTGGGAAGCATTCCGTAACTCTTATTAATATTTAATAGGCAGAAGCAAGGTGGATATAGGCCGTAGGCCTAGATTCCAATGACCATAAGAATGTTTCAAGTACAAAGAAGAGTAATAGATGCCGTGATTTATTTGTTTGTAAGCAGGACAACCGTTCCCCCACTGCCTTCTCTGATCTCAGAGCACTGAGAGTCTGACGGAAAAGTCTACTAGGCAAGTTGAAAAGGTTCACGCTCTGGGTTGGTAAGCTCTGCTTGAGCTAACTTGGTATTTTCTAGTGTGAACCTCAAACCAACCGTTCTAGTACTCTCCACTCACTGCAAGCTAGAAGGGCTGAGGATTTGTTCAGTGGGGCTGGCAAATCAGTAAAAGGTGTTGACTGGGTCTAACACAGTCATCCTCCGTGGAGAGAGATTCTGGAGCAAGGTGTCCAGAGGGCTAACCCTTTGTCTCATGTCAGGCTCTTTTTATTTCCACTCATTTCAAAAAGAAAAATAGGTTTAAAGAAAGGAGAGCTGTGTCTAGGAGTGCTTCTAAGAATTCAGATTCTCCTATACCCACTTGAATAAAAATGCACTGTGATTTCAGAGTGGACAGCACGAATTTGTATAGATTACTAACTCCTGCTATTGATTAAAAAAAATAGGTTACTTTTTCAGTAAAATTCACTCATTTCTAAAATAGATTAGCTTGAAATGAGATAAAATCCTTAGGACAGAAACTTTTCTTTGGATTTTACAGGTACACAAAAACCATGAGATCTGATACCCACCACCCTAAATAATGCATAAAATTAAATAGTGAGAAAATCAATTTTTTGACTCAGTGATTTTTAAAGAATTTTGAAAATGTATTCAAGAGAACTATTTACTTTTGAAGTCAGGATTACCTGCCCAGAATGAATTGCATAAGAACAAAAATGCAGTCTTATATTGCCGGTGCCAGCTGGCCAAGACGGACAGTACCTGAAAGGGGGAGTGAGGATTGAAAGAAAAAGCAAGAGACAGAAAAGATACTTGGGAAGGCTATCAGTAGAGACTGCAGCCCCAGTTTATTTCAGCTCAACCTTTTTATACAGAAGAACTCAATTAGTTTCAACAGCTGTTTTTCCCACCTGTATCTGAGGGTCAAGGAGAGGTCAAATACTTGTTTGTGAGCTCCACCATATAAACACATTCCTCCTGATTTGGCAGATTAGGTACTGGTGTGCAAAACACAAACTCAGTAAACAAGCCTGCCACAGCTTATGTACATAATGGATTAATAGCTCCCAACATTATATAGTCTTCTAAAAGGATATTGAGCTTTTCTTTGAAAACAGTGCGTAAAACTCACCTGCAGGGTGAGGGGAGGGTCTCATTGCAATGCCATGTGAAATGTACAAAAATTAAGTTTTACTCTCAATTTTATACTGTGTGTGCCTAAATGTTCAATTTATTAATATGCCTATCTGTATTCATTTTCTTTCTAATAACCAACAGAATTTAAAATTAACAGAATTTGATAGTGGGAAATGTACTTGTTTACTTTTGTTTTTAAACAAACTTACTTTAGGAGGCATGATGGATGATGACCCCGATGCTTGTTTACTTTTGTTGTTGTTACTTGTTCATTGGTTTTCTGGTTTGTTGGTGAATACAGCCTGCCACTATGTAGTTCAAATAGGTTAGCTTATGTAAAGAAGACTCAGCTTAGAATTGACTGAGGCTTCAGTGACTAATGTCAGGAGCCAAATAATACAACAAATATAAATAGTTTAACCATGGTTTGCCACTGTTATATAACTAATAGGAAGATATTTTATCAATTTTGATATAAAATATAAGTAAAAATTATATCTTCAATGACTACTGATAGTCCGTACAAGAGCTTTTCATAGCTTATATATTTAGAAGACAGTGCTGAATAATTATAATCGAATAAATTCATTGCTTATAGTAGTACAAGTCACAAACCCTAAGTTTCTTTTCTTTTCTAATTTTACAGCGCAGCAGCAGTTTTGGGAATTTTGATCGTTTTCGGCATAATTCCGTATCAAAACCGGACGATTCAACTGAGGTTGGTATTTTATTTCATCTTTATGAATTTAATGACAGCATGTTATAAAAATTGTGATGATAATATCAATTTGGCAAGTTAAGAAATTAAATATATTTTCAAATCATGTAGACTTACATTGAATTCTGGAGTACGTGAGCTATTATTAGGGCCTACTACCATGCTGGGCATTAGAATGAAAAGACTGTCTAAAAAGCTTGTTAGATTGTTTGAGCAGGATATGAACTTAAGAAGAGAGTTAGAATTCAATGTCACATTAACAATTCCGAATTCCCCAAGCACTCCACGCTAAAGCAGTATATATGTATGAGTTGTAACTATGTTAAGTGATAATTGGCTTGATGGTAAATTTATTAAGAACATGTGGCTACTCCATTGCTCTCTCCCACTTTTAGTATATGTGTTGAAATGTCTCATTGGTTGTCATTACACATATTTGTAAACACTTTGGGTATGGACCAAGAAAACCGTCCCATAACATTAAGTTTTATAATATAATAATCATCATACTAGTACTGATAGCTATAGTTAATGCAGCAGTTGTCATAAAGCAAACCTAGTACTAACACTTTATCTACATAGGAAATATTAGTATTTTTATTTTGCTGTTGAAGGACCATATATCTTCACTGAGTAAAACTACTTTTTTACCACAGAGATAATAGTTAATGATAAAAGTAGAACTTGTTGGGTCTGACGGCACACACTTTTAGTCCCAACATTCAGGGCGCACAGGCAGACAGATCTCTGTGAGATGAAGGCCAGTTTGGTCTACATAGTGAGTATCAGGCCAGCAGGGGCTACAAAGGGACTTATATGACTTTATTTCCACTTGGTATTTTGTACAAACTTTTGTTGTTGTTGTTGTTCTTGTTGCTTGCATAAACTTTTAATTCTCTATAATCATATGTAACATAGCTATATTTTTTCTGGTATTTCATTTACAATGAACCTATAAAAATGTCTAAAACTCATTCACCTTCACTGATGTAAGTAGCAATGGCTTAGTAATTTGTGAACTAATTTTGTGGAGCTGATAAAGTAGTTTCCACATTTTCAGAATCCCAGCTTGTATTCTTCATTCTATCTACAGTGACAGGGTACTTTGGGTACTCCAGAAGCACTATTGCAATGAACAATGAAAATGCTTAGTTCCTGAGGTCTGAAGGCAATGTAGGACATACTATGTAAAAAAGACAATGACAGAACAGAACCATAAAAAAATCTGAATTGAAATGTGCATCAGGCTAAGAAGAATGTCACAGGAAAAAAAAAAACTAGTGTAAATATATGGAGATAGTTTTCTAAAAGCATCTATAAATAATTCTGGATAAACCAAAAATATTTGTGTTACATTATTTGAAACTAAGATACTGATATATTTAACATAAGCCCTAATAAAATAATATACTCTCATATTTATTTTAGTTCATAAAACAATTTTACAATAAAGACAGAGAAGTTTAAGCCTGGAGAAGAGAGAAGGAAAAGGCCAACTAAAAATTTAAAATGTTCCCAAATTATATTTTATTCTGGGATTTTGAATTAAACAAAGAATCTTTGCCTTTATAATCCTGAATGTGGAAATTATAAAGTGCAATGAGGGCTTACATTGGCTATCCATTAGTATTCATCATAGGCAACTGGAGTAAGATATGAAGCAAAACATAATGTGATTAATAATGATGTTAACTATGTGGTTAAACCCTCATATTAAAATATTCAAGCTCACTAAAGAGGTTTCCCATCATATTTTAAGTTCAGGGGATGATTGGCTGTCCATCTATCAAGTATGGTGGGAAGAGCTAAGTTATGACCTTCATGGTTCACGGCTTGCAAATTTGGGGTACTAAGGTTCTAACCCAAAAATGTCTTCCAGGGAGAGAGAAAACTGCTACAAATTTCCACACAAAGAATTTCATTTATTCAAAGGATATTCATTGTTTTAAAGAAAATGCTGAAAAAACACCAGGTTATGGGACTCTCAAATAAGAGATTGCATTAAGGACAACACATGAATTGCACAAGGATTTCTTTAATGAATGGAATGAAATATTCACTATTACTTGAGAAAGTGGAAAAAGTGCATGTACATTTGCATGGTCAGATGAAAACACTTCAGGTTCTCAATTGATTTAATTAACTTCAAAACTTCTTGAAAAATAGCCATGACTATGCCAATCTCTTTGAGAGTCAAAAAGCTATCTTAATACAGACAAATACTAAAGGTTTTCTAAACCTTCCTTTAAAATATCTCCAATATACATAGATGTAGTAATTCATGATGCCTGATACTTCTATTTTGTTCATCTCAAGGACAAGAACTAAAACAATTGTTCAACAAAGCCATTAAATCATAGCTAAAATTCCCAAAGAATTGAAGATGTGAAGATGAGACCCTTCAACATTGAGTTTGTAATACAGGTAGCCATGTAGAAAGTTTAATACATATTATGGCCAGAATGTGTGCCGCACAGAATGAACAAAAAGCCCACAAATTTGGTTTCTTATATCTAAAGAGGTTTCAAATCAGTGTTTGAAAGGTTGGATGTACGGCTTAGTTGTAGAGGTCCTGCATGTGAATGTCCTGGGTTTAATCCCCAGCACTGCAAAAACAACAAAACACTTGACCCAATCTTTATTGTTGTATTAATTTATCTTTTGTAAACAATTCTACATTAGGTCCATGAAAGGGAACCAATGAATGAAAGTGAAGAACAAAATAAAACTTTAAATAATGGAGGAGGCCTAGGTAAAAAAATGAGGGCTATTTCATGGACAATGAAGAAAAAAGTGGGCAAAAAGTACATCAAAGCCCTTTCTGAAGAAAAAGTAAGTTTATTCTGTTGGCATTGGTATTTTTATCTTTTTCATAAAATATTGAGTATTTTCTTTATCTAGACATACAGCTGTTTATTTTTATAAAGTACTTAAATGTTTTCTCCTTCGGGTATCATACTCAAAATTGGTGTGGATCTTACAAAAAAATCCCTTATTTATTGTTGTTATGTATGTGCTCATATATGTGTGTTCTATGGAGCACATATGCAGATCAGAAGATTACTTTGTGATGTGTATTCTCTCTTTCCACCTTTGCATGGGTTCACAGAATCAAACTTAAATCATCAGGCTAGCCCACAAAGTGCTTTTGTCCACTGAACCATCTGGCTGACCCAGTTGTTTGAGTCTTAGAGGATTATTACTCTTATTTTAATGGAACAAATATCACACACATTTAGCACATGAAGAAGGGTGTATCACCTATGTTGTAGCAAACATCTGGACTTCATTTCTCCTGATTGTCAAGTGCAATTCCATTTTATAAACAAACTACATTTTCCATATCTGCTGATGACTATTTGGGCTGTTTCTGCTTTGGGAATTTTACGACTAATGCTGCTGTAAACATCTGTGTGATTCTTTGTATGTGGATTTTCCTCATCTCTCTTAGACACGTGTTAATACTACATCTAATATTTTGAGAAATCAACTCCTTGCCAAAGAATCTGCACAATTTTACTTTCCCAATATCAATGTATAAATGACTCCAATGTCTCCATATTATGTTAGCCTTTACAATTTTTTAAAATACTAACCATTTAATGGAGATGAAGTAGACTCACACTGTGATTTTGATTTACTTTTCTCTTATAAATGATGATGG